GAGGAACTGGGAGAACTGAAATGTCTCCGAAGTTTGGATTTGAGCAGTAATCCACTTCGTTACAATACCCTTACGGTCATCAGTAAAATACGGCTCCTTTCTCATCTCAGGTTCTATGATTTAAATCTGGATGAATTTCCCCTGGAAATCTGCAAACACCTTCATCACTTGAAGCTACTGGGGCTCTCAAACAACAACCTAAAATGTCTTCCCAAGGAAATAGTGAATTTTACCCAACTTCAAGAGCTCTATCTAAAGGAGAATGAATTTGAACATTTTCCTTTGGAACTCTGTCAACTGCATAATCTAGAAATTGTAGATCTGGAGAAAAACAATCTGAGTGTCATTCCGGATGAAATTTCATCCTTGCAGAATTTATCTCAGTTTTATCTCGCCGACAACAAGCTGACAATGGTGCCTGATTCACTGAGCAAGTGTTGTAAACTGTCTCTGCTTGATTTGTCAACAAATCAATTGTACAAACTCCCTCGAAGTTTAAAGCAATTGACAGAAATGAAGGAATTTAGCATCTCGGGGAATGCCCTGGTTGGTTTTCCACGTCTGTTACGGCATTGGAAATGCCTTACTGTGATTTACCTGAAGAACTGTGGCCTGAAAGCGATACACCCTTCGTTTGGAAAACTAACCAATGTAATAATTTTAGATTTAAGTGAAAATCTTCTGGAAGAATTTCCAGCACAGATCTGTGCAATGGAAAATCTGGAAATATTGTCCCTGGATGACAATCAGATAAGTGAGGTATTTATCCATCATATTTTGATCCTACTTCTCCTAGTCAGATCACCTCCCATAGTAAATTAAAATTCAATTAAGACATACTTAAATACTTTTAAAAAGGACCAATAATTGTAGATTGTTACTAGATTTATATCTTTGAAAATCACTGATATATTTTGCGGGGTGTGCCCAAAAGTATAAAAGACGAATAGAGGTAAAAGTACAGAATCTTACTTGCTAGGGGCACTTCTCAAGTTTAGATTGTCAAATACAAAATAAATTTTTGGAAAACACAGGCCACTCAGTTAAACCAACAATTCCACGCACATAAACACAAACACACACATTTTCATCTTTAAAAACATGGGAACCTATGCTTTTTGGCAAGTAAAATAAATAATAATAATAATAATAATAATAATAATAATAATAATAATAATAATAATAATAATAATAATAATAATAATAATAATAATAATAATAATAATAATAGTAATAATAGTTGCAATGTGTGCTTTTCCATCCCCTTAGTTTTAAAAGGTCTTTTGTAACATAATTTTGTACTAAAAAGTGCAGTCCGAAATTAATGTTGTTTTTTTTAACTTCAGCTAGGCTGGCAAAGATCTGCTAGTTAGCTGAGCTTACTCTCTCCCCACACGGGGCTAAGGAAATATGCAGATCTGAATCAAAAAATATGGGGAGCCTATGCAGGGGTGTCCACAGGTTGTGGTCAGATATGTCAAGATTGCTCCATCTGTTCGTTATGTGTGTTTCATGTGGGACCCACAAAATTGGTGGAGCTTTCACTGTGCCATTGCGTCATGCCAAAACTGTGCCCACCCATTGCCAGCAATGGGAAAAAGTCATGATATGTCGCGACACGTCACGTGACGTCGCGAGTTTGACACCCGTGTTTTGGACCATACCTTGCAGATACTTTCAGCCTGTGGTAGCTCACCCTGGTGGACCTCCATGAAATGTGTTTATAGAAACCCATCCTAAGATCATTCTCATATCTTCCAGATGTATTAGGGTAACGAATCTTATGACTGCCAGCCAGTTGAAAATTATGGGACTTGAGATCCCAACATATAGGTATTGGATAGGTATTCATATCTACACATATAAAATTGTACATAATATCATTTTACCTGTAAATGAATTCTTTAGTTTTAATTGTAATGTAAGGTGTGTGAACATCCACTTTAAACTTAATGTAAACCGTCTTAAGCTCGATTGTAAAAAATTCGATTTTTGTAACAGAGTTGTCAAAATCTAGAATATCTTACCCAATTCAGTTGTCTCAGCTACTAGCTTTCACAGTTTTAATTCTAACTTAACTTCTGTGGACCTCACCCATATTTAAGAGATTCCTAAGGGAGCGTGCATAAGTGCACAAACATGCCTATTGTCCCTATCACGTTATAATTTCTTTTCATTTTGCTTGTTCGAATTTGTAATTTTCATTTGATAGATAGATAAACAAACAAATAAATAAACAGTATCTACAGCGCTTCTGGTACTTGGTGACTTGATTCACATTTCCAGGCAGAATAAAATATCATTTCATCTTCTAAAAGACATCATTTGTTATTATTATATTTCAGCTGGAGTTAATGATCTTTTTTCTTAAGTGCCAGAAAGACTCACCAGGCATTACATAATGAGGGAGAGGAGGGGAAGAGAAGTTTAAAAAGGAGAAAGAGAATAACGTTTTTAGGATATTGAAGAATTCAAGTCTGTTAGTAGTCTCCAGGGATGTCTGCCAGCTGGGGTTTCAAGAAAGTCAAGAGGGAGACCATAATCATGTGATCACAGCTGCCATCTTGATGTTTGTGAATCACCTTTGATACGTTAGTGGTTTCCTGTTTTAGAAAGGGTACTGGTATATGAAAGGGTACTTGGTCATCAATGACACTACTTCACGTAGAGAACTTTTAGAACCCATTTAAAATGTACAAACTGAATAATATGTATTTTCCCAAATCTGTATTTTGAAAACATCAAGATACCTCCAGCCGTAAATAAGCTTTATCAGCTAAAAAGCCTTGGTCTAACCGGCAACAGGTTCGTCTCGTTCCCTGAGGAAATATTCCATATTGTATCACTAGAGACACTCTACCTGGGACAAGATACAGGGACCAAATTAACAGATTTACCAGAGAATGTTAGCCAATTGCAGGTAAGAAAAAGTACTAACATACAAATGGAAGAAAAGACATTTGCAATGTAAACAGCAGGTCTAGAAAACTGTTCATTTAGAGCAGGGCTTTTCAACCTTTTCACCCATTGTACCACTTTTAGGATATGGCAACATCCGAGTACCACCAGCAAGGTGTCAAAAACTTGATGACCAAAAAAAAAAGGAAAAAAGTAATAAAGTACAGGTAGTCCTCGACTTAACAACAGTTTACTTAGTGACTGTTTGAAGTTACAATGGCACTGAAAAAAGTGCCTCCCAAGCCACAGCCGAGCAAGACACCTGCCTGCCCACCCGGCGGCGCTCTTCCTCCTGTCCGAAGTTTTCATTGTTGTGAGCATTTCTGTTGAGGATTGGCAGCAGGGGTGGGGTGGGTGTTTGGTTTTTATTCCCGTCTGCTGGGTGGTTGCAACAGGTTTTGGTCACTTTACATGACCCTGGGACACTGTGACTGTCATTAAATATGAATCAGTTGCCAAGCATCTGAATGTAAATCACAAGACCCTGGAGATGCTGCAACATTCCAGCTGATTGGCGCTTCTTCAGGGCTCAGCAGAAGCACCAGGATCAGCGCCGACCTCCAGCTGGAGCCTGGCACTGATCCTGGTGCTTCCACTGAGCCCTGACAGCCCCGAAGAAGCGCTGATCAGCTGGAAAGCAGCACTGATCCTGGCGCTTCCGCTGAGCCCTGACAGCCCTGCAGCTCCAGCCATCTCTTGCTCAGGCTTGTGCGGTGCTGCCACCGGTTCAACTCATTCCCCTCCCCCACTACCACTTTTCTAGGATGGTTGTGTACCACCTGCCAGGTGCCAATGTACCACAGGTGATAATCGTACCACTGGTTGAAAAGCCCTGATTTAGAGAGTTTTTCTCAAACTCAGCAACTTTAAGATACGTGGATCTCAACTCCCAGAATTCCCCGACCATACTGGCTAGGGAATTCTGGGGGTTGAAGTCCACACATCTTAAAGTTGCTGAGTTTGAGAAACACTGATTTAGAATTCATTGCCTCTTGGACTTTTGGCTAAGATCAAGATTGTATAGAGTTTTCATTCAACTTGTTCCCCATTTCTTGGGTTATTGTTCACTGCCTTAATATGCATACTTATTAATCATTCTTTGCAAAAGGAAAAGATTCTGGTGATGCCACTGAAGCTAAGCAGTCAAGCAGGTTTTCACTGTTCAAAGTGAGCTGCATTCTTTTTTCTTTCTTTTTCTTTTTTTTTTAAAAAGCCTACCCTGATGAACTTAACAGCTGCAAATGCTGTGCAAAGCTGAGATTGGCGTCTGTCAGGGGCACAAGGGATTCTGTACAGGTAGTCCTCCACTTATGACAATTGAGCCCAACATTTCTGTTGCTAAGCAAGACAGTTAAGTGAATTTTGCTCCATTTTATGACCTTTCTTGACACAGTTTTTAAGTGAATCACTGCAGTTGTTAAGTTAGTAACACAGTTGTAAAGTGAATCTGGCTTCCTCATTAGATTGTTTGTCAGAAGGTCACAAAAGATGATTGGATGATCTCAAGACACTGCCAGGTGCCAACATCCAAATTTTGATTACATGACCATGGGAATGCTCTAACGGTCGTAAGTGTGATAAACTGGCTATAAGTCTCTTTTTTTCAGTGCCGTTGTAACCTTGAACGTTCACTAAATTAATGGTTGTAAGTTGAGGACTACCTGTAGATCCTCACAAAATGTTGGCACAAAGAAAACGCTGCTAAGATCTTTCTTCACCATTTACTCAGGAGATGTGGGGTAAAAATACAGATTGATGGGATTCTACTGTCATCAAAGTCTTGGAATTTCTCACTGATGTTTAGAAGCACCATGATATTATCAGCGTTTATTTTAATCTATATTTTATAAATAACTCAAAGCGACTAACCTATCTAATACTCCTTTCTCCCATTTCCCCCACAACAACTCCATGAGGTGAGTTGGGCTGAGAGAGAGTGACCAGTCTAAAGTGACCCAACTGGCTTTCATGCCTAAGGCAGGATTAGAACTCACAGTCTTCTACTTTCTAGCCTGGTGCCTTAGTCACTAGACCAGTAGACTCGTGGGCTTCAACTCCCAGAATTCCTGAGCCAGCATGGCTAGCTCAGGAATTCTGGGAGTTGAAGTCCACGAGTCATAAAAGAGCCAAGGTTGCCTACCCCTGCACTAGACCAAACTGGCCTGCCATATTTTGGTGTTGTTTTCTCCTCTTCCCTGATTGAGCTGAATTCTGGTTTGGAAATTGTGATTCCCCCATAAGTTGATCCTTGTGTTTTATCTCTTCACTGCAAGATTGCTGACTTTCCTGAGATGTTACTTAGCAGGTAGACTCTAAAATAGTTTTGGGGCAAAGGAATGGAGATGGCAATGATTCAGGAGACAAACATCCTAAGTGGTCAGTTTTGTGGAAGGGCTTGCAGATTCAATTTTGCCTTTTTTCCCATTTAAAATTATATGTGGCTTCTCATTAAAGTTTTCTGAAGATTACTTGAGTTTCTGGACAGGTCAGTAGCCACATCTGGCCAAATGGGCATGTGCATTTCCCCCTTAGAATTTAAAAGAACTGTACATCGAAAACAACTTCTTGGAGTACCTTCCATCAAGCATAGGATTACTGAATAACTTGGAAATACTTGACGCTCATAACAACTTTCTTATAGAACTGCCTGACTCCATATGCCAACTACAAGGTAAAAAGAAAAACGCACACACACAAAGAAAATTCTTGGCCTTCTTAGCCAACTTAGCTCATCACACCATTTCATTTTTTTTCTGATTTGTCTTTAGGTTTGCAGAAGCTATTACTCCATAACAACCAATTATTTCAAATCCCAGAGAACCTGGACAGTCTAGAAAAATTGCAAGATCTATCACTGGAAGGGAATCCTATGATGGACCCACCAGTGGAGGTGTTTAGTCAAGGGTTGTCAGCCATATGGGAATATTTACAACAGGCAAGAAAAACAAAAGAGACAACCATAAAGGTATGAAGTTGGGAGAAGGAGGACAGTCAGAAGCATACAGGAGAACAGGTTAAATATCTAATGAAACATTGTTCATCTCTGGTATCTTAAACAGTTGGGGCAACATGGCCACATCTGGATCAATAGTGTCTTTCCTAGAAAAAAATGCTCTGATCCTTAGTTCTTATGACCAAACTCCATATTTCACTCATAAGAATGTAAAACCATGATTATGTATGTGTAAATAATTATATGTGATGGCACGTGGGAATGATTT